CAACTTAACTGCGGTGCTAGCGAGTCCTCCTGCTCGCTGAAATCGATTTAAGTGGTTAATTGTCCGCTGGCCAAATTATCGGGCAAAGGAGAAGCTTAACGTAACATCACTGTGTTTATGACTTTATAATTGAATTTGTAACGAAGAAGGTTTAGACTTACGGGTGTTTAAAAAATGTAGTAAACTTTACTATCCTTGCAACTAGTTGTATATATCCTCTCCTTACAGAACATTAACATTCCGGGGATCATCAGCAGTTTTGGTAACCGCAAATACAGGATCTATCCCTACTTCAACAAATTCAACCTCTACTCCACCAAAGGTCAAATACTTCCATGCATTCTATAATAGCAGGCACTATTTTGTTCAAAAGTTCAGCAGCTATGTTTAGCCTTCTACGGGAAGTGGCAAACCATTCGATATCGCAGATGTTGGGACAAAACAAGCTCGTGTAATTCTGGACTATGATGCAGTTCTTCCTCAAGAGATGAGTGTTCGACAAAACGATGTACGTTCTGTCCAAACGTAGGCATTTCTTATTGTTTCTAAATTTTCATTAAGGTACTCATTGTCTATCGCTTGCCTGGACTTGACCCAGACTACGTGATGGCCGAAAAGGGCGGTGTTCGGGGGCGAGTGCCAGTCTCCTTCCTTGAACTGATATAATGACTATTTTATAAGAATTCGTTGATGGTTGTGCTGAAAATTGCCATACATAGGGGAAACTTGCTGTTGAAACAAACTTTGATTTGCTTTATTTATTTTTTCTAACACATATTTAGACTACACTCGCTCACCATTTGTTTGATGTATTGGCGTTGTTCAATAAATTCTAGAAAACAGAGGTAGAGATTTTTTCGCAGAGATTGGTTAGTCGTACTAGTACTAGCATGTATTTTTTAAGGCGTTAGGTCACATAAGTAAGAATTTCTTTCTTTTTTAATCAGTGCGACAGTCATTCAATCGTAAGAAGCATAAAGATTTTTCTCCACTTTCATTCCTCCTTCCCCTACTATTCCCTCTCCTGGAAATCCGTTGTTCAGTTCTCAGCCGTTCAAATGACCTGTAACATACCATTACCATACCCATCTGACTTCAGCAAATCTCAGGTGCCGTCGCGTCGCGCGTTTTCCTCTCTCCAGCGAGCATCACTGTCAATCATCCAAAATGCATATAGTTTTCTTGTTTGTTCCCACTTTCGATCTTTTCGTCGATAACGTAGGCCGCCAATCATCGGGATTAGTGAAAGGAATAATAAAGGATAGATCAGAGAAGATGAGTTTGTGACATTATACTACTCTCTCAGGGATTACAGTAATCATCAGCTTTGTGTATATAAGGGAAATG